CATCCTTTAACCTTATACTTTTTCAAACAGTCTTTCGTCAGACATTCATACTCACTCACTTAGGGACCATGATCATCTCGATAATGACGATTCATTTCTTTGTTTGTCTCGAAAAGTTGGTTGGAATTCTCATTTAGGTTTATGTATTTATTTGGACGAAAACATTGGTACAAAGGGGTACCAAGTACGTATGCGCCGCACAATAACATTAAGGCCAGCAGCAGTTATTATTAGTTTGTGTGAGGGCTGTTATACTGCCCGGGTGCCCAAACCGAAACAGATCTCATTTAAGTACCTAAGTAACAGCCCTATCTTACATGTTATACGCGGTTTATGCGTACCAAATCTGTATAATCTTACTCTACAGTGTGTTTATGCAATCTATGCAGAGTTGCTGTTCAAGTGTTTCCATTTCCCTTAACCAACTTTCAATGAATACTTTCTTTGAGTTATCCTTAATCTCTTTATTACTATTCATCACTATATACATAATATTTCTCACCCTTTGTTTTGGTGTGTACCATTCATCCAATCTGTTCTCAGCTAAATTTGGTACTCTTTTCAAACTCATTTACTGTTCATTATTGGGGTTGTGGAGATTATTAAGTTTTTGATTGAGATCATGAATTGACTGATGTTAGACCACCGCTGGAAACCTGGAAGCACTGGACGTCCGTTTCGTCCTAGTATGGGACTCCTCAGCAGTGCTCATCCACTGTTATCTGCTTTCTACTACTAATTCCTAATACCATACGTCATAAAATGTTAGACTCTATTTCTAGCTTTGTTGCATCCTTTTGACCCGATACTATTGTTTCTAGCCCGTATGTTAGGATGAGTGTTATTATTGTTCTTATCGGCTATTTTTACTATTCCAATATTATTCGACCTTATCATTGGTCTTGTTTTTATCATTGCATGTCTTGCTTTAATTACATTTTCCTGGATCGCCTCATCTTGTAGACCACTTAAAATGGGACTCAAGTACTGAAATTAGTTCATGCTTTCAATTATTGCATTGTCTATCTGTACCATCTCTTCGTCTTCATCTTCATTTATGATCATCGTCTTGACTTTCTTATGGGGTATTCTGATGCTAATTCTCTTGAGTTAGTACATTGTCAAATAAGAATCTGTTCTCATCAGATGCCATTTTGGGTCACCAAGAGCTTCCTCTACACTTTCTTGTATGCTTGTGGGTAGTTTTAACTCGTTTATGGTTTTTATTAGCAGTGCTTTTAGAACTGTATAAAATGCTTTGGTTAGGTCAATAAATGCTAGAACGATTTTAGTTTCAGAATCTATAGCGCATTGTGTTATATACCTAATAGTTGTAATTACTTGCTCTGTAGACATGCCTCTTTGGGAGCCAAATTGCGTTAAAGATAACAACTCATCTTTTCTGTCATTCATTCGGTTACAAACCACTTTAGCCCATACCTTTGCATTGTTGTCAAAAAGGTAAATACTTCTGTAATTGAATTATTCATGCCTCTTTTGTTTTTATTTAAACTTATAACATCAGCATCTATCCTGGGCGTTTGTATACTGCCTGAGTTTTCCCAAAATTCATTCATTTTCCTTAGAAGTGCTTATTTTAGCTTGTCCTTTCCGTTTTTTAACCATTTCTATGGTTATGCCGTTATTTCCTGGCGCTTTATTATTTTTCATTCTCCGTATACCTTGAGCCCATCCATCCTAAAAATAGGACCCTGATCACTCACTTATCTGTCATTTTTTATGATACATTTCATTGCTTTAAATAACATTTGATAATATTCTTTTAGTACTTCATTTCTTTAGTTAAGCATTAAGAAATAAAATTAACCGCGTATCAGTCTGTCCTTAGAGCTATTTTTAATTGAAAGTGTAATAAATAAAATGTACAAGCTATTATATGTGGTCGTGTTCATATAAAATCTCTAGATGTATATTGTTTCGTTCAAAAAATGTACTACGTTCGTCAAAGTGCAATATACATTCCATGCCGCTCTGTAAGAGCTGATAAATGTACATTCCTCTTGATCTGATAGAACTTCACGAATTACGTCAAGTACTGTGGTACTATAACTTGTTTATTGTACTCAGAGGCTGTTAAATATTAGTAGTGCTGCTACACGTAGCATTTGTATCTTTGTTCATATTCATTAAAAACATCTTGGTTTTATAAATAAATAATATATTTGTAATATCCCAATGAGTAGAAAAATTAGGTTTTCTGACGTTTCGTGACTTAGTGCGAATCACTTCTTCAGAGAATAAATAACCAAATTAAAACTAATCGAAGTTTAAATAGTACAACGGAACAACAAGAATAATATGTTCTGTTGTACTATTTAAACTTGGATTAGTTTTAATTTGGTTATTTATTCTCTGAAGAAGTGATTCGCACTAAGTCACGAAACGTCAGAAAACCTAATTTTTCTACTCATTGGGATATTACAAATATATTATTTATTTATTTATAACAATCTACCCAATGCTCAATTTATTCGAAATCATCAAATCAAATCTTGGTAATGATACCTACATCTTGGTTCTATAGTGAAATGAAATTGCATACGGTGATATAACCGATGTCATATCAAAGGAAAGTTTAGTGTAATATTATAGATCATAAGACCGAATTTGTTTGAACGGATGATTTTATCGATAGACAGTAAACACTCCCTACATTGTTTACTGAGAGTCAGGTATCCAGTTGGTATTGTCAACTTGCAGCAAAAAAGTTATCACAAAGTATATCGCAAGTGTCTTGTTAAGAAATATTCTGTGTATACCACTGACATCATGACTAACTTTTATACAAAGTCTGTTAACAACATAAGAAAATTATGTGTTAGATCAATGTATGGTGATTAGAATGATCAATGTAAATGAGTTCATATATTTATCCCAACAATCCTATTAACACAGTAGAACTTGATGCATTACTTTGTTTCGTGAAGTAATGAATTACTCTTGCTTTTTTAACTTCTGTGTAATAGAAACCGATAAAAAAGCACTGGCTCATGTAACATGTCGAATAATTCTCATTTTTTGAGAATGAATAATACACATTTCTCAGAATCTGGTAGGTGAAGTTAAATGAACTCGTGGTTTGTTAATTAATGTTTAGCTTCAGAATTTTTTTTTTCGCTCATAAACTGACTGACACTTTTAAAGTATATTATCACTTTTACTAATAGTTTCTTACTATTTTGATAATTAGTTTTGCTCGACATTTGTCCTACACCAAGGCAGAGCCAATATGAAGTTGTGTGTAAATTACACATGTTATAATTTCTGCCCCTGTCAATTATCACGTGACAAAATCGTCAATCAGAATACCGAATTCTATCACCTTGCCCCTGTTCTAAACCAATGACACGTTAACCAGCAGCCTTGAATCATTATTGGTCCTCAATAATAGTAGTTTCTCACCTATCCCTGCTCGTTGATTTCAGAACACAATATCAGCCCTCACCGTACGAATAACGTATTTCAGATATTCGTAATTTATATACAAGTAGACTAGACCTCGTCACGTCATAAAATGAAAAATAACAACTATACAAGATCAGACCAAAAGTGGCTGTGAGTACGAGAGACCGGAACTAATAGATTGGGAATAAATTAAGAATAGCAAATAGTATAGTAGTAGCCAATAGGTGAAATGAAAGGCTGTGATAAAAGATATATATATATATATATATATATATATATATATATATAATTATTATTATTAAAAAATATTTGTATTTGTAAGATTTCTCAGTATTCTGTTTATGAGAATACCAACATGTAAATGTCATGAAATTCTGCATTACAGTTAAAATTTCACTCGATATCGTAACTCGCATGTTACTTGTATGAATGAACGTCACGTTCACTTTATTTTACTTATCATTTTATCTGGGATTTTAAAATTAATCACTAAGTTTTATGTAAGTTTGTTCCATATTCAATATAGCTATAGCTTTTAAAGGTCCTGATATGGTTATTTCCAGGTAGCTTCATTGATATCTGTTGGCTAGGGGGTTAAAACACAACCCTTCTTTGTTTTTAGCTAAACATATATTTTATCGCTTTCGGTCTAGCATTTTGTTTTGTGCAAGATGTTTATAATAGCTACATTTTTAAGATCAATAGTTGTGGTAACACAGGTTTAACTTATTCATTTTCAACCGTAAACTTGTACTCCAGTTCATTCAACGTTTTCGCACACGTGTAAAATGTAATGAAACTCACTCGTTAAGTACACGTCAAGTCGATTTTAAGCGTCACTTTTGTATAAAAGTCAGTGACACTGTTCGGTTATATCAGAAAAAGTAAAACTTTACCCGAGGCTGAAACTTTTGTTGAGAGTTCAGTACTTGAATCACCAATCCACCTAACACATACGTATCCCTAAACATTCATCATCTTATTGAACCCGATCAATAAATTGATTGATCATTTACTTGGTTATATAAGTCGTACCCTACTGTATGTGTTTTGATTTCAATAAACACATGTCTTACTTTATAGTTGCTTATCACCAGGCACAAATGGGAACTTTTGGTTCTGTAACATTTTTGTACATAAGAGGTTTGCTTCCAACGGCGCACTTACACAATTAATTGGACGAAATATCTAGTTCATTTAAACTGAAATACCAAAAGTGAGTCAAACAATAAATCAAATTGTTGTGGAAATTCACTTTTGTCAAACAAGTATACCAAGTACTCGTTCATTTATTTATGGATAATGCTTGTCACCTGATTTGCCCGGTACTACCCATGAAGCTCCTAGGGCGCACATATTTCGTAGCTCATTCTCAATTGGTTTTTTAAGACTAAAAGTTACATATTAATTCTCCATTTCCTGTAATATTTTTGCATTTCAGATAACCCAACAAACTGAACTTCTAACAAAACTACATTATCCGTCATCTGTTTTCTGATTACAAAACAAGTTTCTGTGTATATAATCAGCCAACATAATAGGAATTATACCTGTAACGTTAAAAACAATTTCCGATGTGTATTCCTCATTACTTAATTGTCGGTGGTGGTTTGTCCGGTTTAGTTACTTCTTACCTCATCTCGTTAACCCGACCATTGGGGAGTTACCGTCTCACAGTTTTGGAGAGTAGCAGTAGATGGGGTGGTTGGATTCAATCAGTTAAAAATATGGATACTGGATCAATCTATGAAATTGGTCCACATAGCACTCGTGCAACATCTGCCACATCAGGTCTTTTGATGAGAATAGTGAAAAGTTTGCATCTCGAAAACTCACTTGTATGGATGAGGCAGGGTACAGTTGGAGCGGAACGATTAATGTATATAAATGACCAACTGTTGCCACTATCTGCGTTCAATTTCTCCACTTTAAAACCATTCACTAGGTCCAACTGTAGTTTGATCATCAGGCGGTTATTTTCTCGACGCCCACCATCTCAGTCAGACTGGACTGTTGATGAATTCCTTCGCTCTCGTCTTGATTCTGAATTCGCTGATTACTTTGGCAGTGCTCTGATGAGAGGTATCTTTGCTGGTGATTCACGAAACCTTAGTGCTCGTGCTTGTTTGCCTACGGTAAGTTACCTGTTTATTAAGATGACAATAATTTCAAAAATACAATTATAACAGTTTAGTTCAAATATTTTCTACAAGTTTTGTAGTATATTCTCATTTTCATCTATCGCATCTACTAAAAACATGGTGATCGAGATTTTTGGCCTGAAAAAATGGCAGGTTCAGAATCACTTGATTTTTCAGAGATATTTTACAGCCTTTCAAAGCATACACATTTAACAAGTTAATAGATAATTTGATTCGCTTTCATAATAACTTTTCTGAAAGTGCATTAATCCTTTTAGCATCCTGTAAGCTTAGAGTAAAGCAGTTTCTAGGAGTGCTATCAAGTTACTTCGATGTAATTTTGAAATAGGTTTATTTTTTGAGCGTTTTCATTACTATCCACTTTCCCATTATAGAAATCATTAATCAATTTTAGGAAGCTTGAATATGTATATGTTGTATGTAGAAGAAATATTAATCGACATTATCCTTCAAGTTAAATGTTCTTTTCAGATTAGTTGTGGTTGAGACGATTACCTGATGAAGCTTAATCTCCAGGTATTTGTGTGGGTCATTGCAATCATTAGTTTACCATGTTATGAGTTTGCAATGCTTCCATTTGTTTTTTTTTTGACTAAATGTTTATGACATCATCTTATTATGTATTCTTTCAGATGGTGAAGTCGGAAGAATATGGACCGAATCTTATTCTCGGGATTCTACTTTCACGGATAAACCGATCTTTAGATCGTATCGTTATACCAAATATGATTGATGACAAACTCCCGCAACTGAATAACTTGATTCCATCTGATGCGATTGCGTGGACTTTATCAGGTGGATTGGAGACACTGATTAACACTATTGTAGATCATTTAAGTAGGAAACATCCACATATCGATTTGAAGTTAAACTCTTCCGTTGAAAAATTGAAATCTCTAAATGGCTGCTTTGAGTATACATACAAGGTCATCAGTGATAATGGGAACGACAAAGAAAAAAATACAGCCGATATAGTCTTTTTTTGCTGCCCATCCTACGTTACGGCAAGCATTTTGGAAGACGTACTGACTACTGAAACTCTAAGCTATCTGAAACCCGACTCTATTCCATGGGGAAGTATTGTCAGCGCTGTCTTAGAAATAGATGACTCCTTTATTCCCTTAGTACGTGGGTTTGGGCACTTAGTACCGCGTACAGAAGATGAACATATTCTGGGTGTAATATACGATTCCTTTGCGTTCCCGAAATTGGATGGATTTAATAAAAATCTACGATATACAGTAATGATGAAACCATTTCGTGAATGGCTCGAAGCCTCTACAAGTTTAGGTTCCTCGGAACACCTGAAAAACACCATTGAAGAAGTTGCGAAAACCGTCCTTATAAACCATCTTAAAATACCGGCTCCGGTCATTGTTGGTCGTCATATTAGTATTCTCCGTAACTGTATTCCCCAGTATCCTCCTGGTCATTTAACTAATATGGCTAATTTGCGCAACGGCATTCGGCGAATTTCTAATGGTCATAGTTCTGGTCGAAGTAGTATATATCTTGTTGGTAATTCGTACGATGGCGTTGGGTTGAATGATGCTGTCTATAGTGCTGCATGTGCAGTCGCAGAAGAGTTCAGTTCATCTTCATGAAGATAGTTTTTTTAAAAATCACTGTTCACAAACCAACTTATGTATAATTCTTTGCTTATTAATAGCACTAACGTATGAAGACGTCTGCTAGAAGATTATGGATGTAAAATAAACCGTATGCATTAAAAAAACCTGTTTCCGGTTTTTATATTAAAGTTACTACATTTTCATCCTTTTCTTCAACACATAACAGGATCTTGCAAAATTGTAGTTTATCATTAGAATGATTATCTTATGGTGCAAATATATCCCCACTAAGTGTTTTGTTATTTTTTGAACGGCGTGTTTTGGAAACTGAATTGAATAGTTGGTGACGAAGGTAGGTATCTCTTGACAAGAGAGCTTCTGTAATTAGAAGTTGTTTGGCATGTGTGAAGAAAACTACGAAACTGACAGATCTTGATTACCAATGAGAAAAGTGAATTAGTTATCAAATGGATGACTGTAGGATTGGTTTAACATTACCAAAGAACTATCATGCTTGATTTCGATATTTATATCAATCATCCGACAAACATTTATTCATCCACTTGTTGTTTTGAATCTAAGATCAGAAATGTTGCTGTTCATTTCAGGTTCTGCAGGAGATTTTGAGTGATTGTGTTAGGTAGTAAGTAACAGTGGATTATTTTTATACCTAAGCTTAATTATCTTATTATAAGTATTTATTTATCTGAACACATAAAGGCTGGTACAAAAGGGCACCAGAATATATATTCGCCACACAAATCATTTATGTGTGGGTTGGAATACTTATCGGGTCCCCAAACCGAAGCAGTTAGTTTTCTTAAGAGGACCACTCCCTTACTTTTTAACCTAGAGGTCTAGTCCACAAGTCAGTGTAGCAAGGTTAGGCAATGCGGTCCCGTGGTAGCTGGTGACGAGGAATAGGTTCATACGCCATTTTTCCCCTCAGGATCCTGGAGTCCATGTTCACCATAGGTTTAGAATCAGGGTTTTTCAACTCCCTTAGTTGGATCTTCCATACCCACCAATCTGGTTTAAGAGCCAGACTTCCCTGCCAACGGCAATATGCCTGTGGCCGTATGACAGCGTTTCAAAAGAGGGAGTGGACTCTTTCAACCCTCGACCGTACCAGGTCATTTGCATAAGCTAGTTGTGTTAATAGCACATTGTATTGTTTGGCAAACCTAAACCTCTAGTCACATTATTTCTTCAATTATGGGGTGCGATTCTACAAAAGGAACTTAAAAGTTTTAGCCTGACTCAGCTTGTAAAGTACTTAATCTTTGACTGTTCAATATCCCCAGTGTCCTTTAGGAAGGAAACCTAGTTCCAGGTGAATATTACATTTTCGCTGCCATCTCAAGTTAGTATTGTATTATTTTGCTAACAAATGCTTATTCAGTGGTCATCAAGTAAATCTATTTTTCCTGATACTCATCTGTTTGAATTCAGTTGACCTTATCCGATCTTGAAATGAAGTATATCCCTATGTCGTAATAAGGATCTGTTTTCGTCATGGGATTCCCTTCCTTTCATGATATAAATTGGTCAAACAAATATGTCAGTCAATTGCGGAGCGTCCCGTTTCACGCTCTCAGTTATAAATTCTTTCCTTTATTCTTGCATTTTTTTGGCTTTACTCCTTTGATCTGTCCATTTCTATAGTTATTAGTGAGCACTTTTTGACATCAATTTTCACGGTGCAGAAATTTATCTTCATGTGACTTAAAAGATTTTGAGTGTTCACACGAGTTAACATATAAATATTCAATTCTAGAACACAATTTTTCTAATATTTAGTGCTTTCTTCATTAATATACTACACAGTTTGTACATCAGTTTTACAGTTATTATTATTGTTTCTAGGTTGTAAGCGACTGACGAGAATTCATTAAATAAATGGATTCATATTATTCTATTATGATTGTTTTTGCTCTATTTGACTTTATAAGCGACAAAAATTCTATGAGATAATAGAACTTAAGACTTCAATATTTTTCATCAGGATGGTTTGTGTTGGTAGGAGTGAGTAGTTAAGTGAAATTACCGTGAAACTGGCAGGAAAAAGAACAGATGCGATTTTTAAACTTGCATGTTATTATACTGATAACTTCCAGCTTTTATTCAGAAAAAACATTAGTAATTATTTACATATATTCATGGGGACTGGGGTTTTACCAACCACTCGTTTACCCAATTGCTGTGACCACTATAAGCAGAGATCAATGGTGGCTAGCAGTGGAGTTCGGGACGCACGTTTCGCTCTATTTGTGGCTCGTCAGCTGGATGCACCTATATCTCAGAATAGATGTGCTCTCCGGGACTCGGACTTAGGCAGTCAGCACAGAATGGGCATGTGCTAATAATCGACTGGTCAATTGCAGTCCTAAATATCAATGGAAAGATTCGAACAACCAATACGAAAATTGTATGGCCTCTGTTTGAATGCCACTGTCACGACGGAAGAATTGAAGGATCACTAATAGCATAGTTACTTCCATTTCCATATTTAGTTAATCATTCGTCATCTGATAAGTTAAGACACTACTTTGACCGAACATTCCACTTACAAAAAGCGGTTTAAATTTGATGAATTTTATAAACGAAATGATGATGTATCGATTGGGTCATAATTAACCTCACTTCTAGTCGAGTATTTCATGGTCTGGTCTGGAAAACGCTGCACCTAAACCTACAAATGACAGCCCTGGTACGGCCAAGAGTGGGGAGAGTCAGCTATCCCTCTCGAAATGCTCTCGCATGGCCATGTTCATGCATCCACTGCCAGGGAAGTCTTACTCAATGCCTTCCCGCGGCGGGGATGTTGTTTACGAAATTGAAAGAAACAAAAGCAAATGTCTGAAGTTTATACCGGGTTGGCGGATACGGAGGATCCACCGAGGGGGAGTTGGAAACACTGATTTCAAATCAATGGTGCACATGGGCTTCACGATCCTAAGGAAACAAATGGCATGTGGAACTATTGTTGCTCACCGGCTACCGTGTGGTCGCTTCTCCTAAAGTTGCTCCACTGGCTTGTGGATTAGAATTTTTGGTCAAAGGCTCCGGGCATAGCCCCCTAAGGAAACCACCTACTTTGGTTTGGGCACCCGGGGAGTATCCCAGCTCTCATACAAAATGAATGATTTATGTGGCGTAAATATATTTGGTGCCTTCGTGTACCAGTGTTTATCTGTTTAGATAAATTATACATAAGAGATATTCTAGTTATGCTTTCATCGTCTGAGCAAAAGTATCGAACTAAAGAGTATCGTCAAGGAATCAAATAGCTACAACCAGTTTGTTTGGGGTAGAGGGACATGTTCTATCAACAGATTGGAAAGAAGGACATTTCATCAACATAAGAAAGAAAGATCTCGGCAAGTGTGAGGACTAAGGAGCCATCATACTACTATAAATGCTTAGAGAAGTTTACAACAGAATGTTGTTGAACCTAATGAAAGATCGAGTAGACTCCCAGATTCGAGATCGATAGGTTAGACTCCGTAAGGATTGGTCGCATCACTGATCATTGTTGAGCAATCAATTGAATGAAACTCGTCACTATGCATCAATACCATTGACCATGAGAAAGCGTTTGATAACGTAGATAGGAGAAACTTGTGTACTTTGCTTAGACGCCATGGTACACATAAGAAGATCGTCAAAATCTTATGGGATTCATACGATGAACTACACAGCAAAGTCGTACATGAAAGACATATGACAGATGCACTGCAAGAGAAGACTGCTGTCATACACAATTATTTACTCTCATTCTTTCTTTTGGTGGTTGATTAGATTATGAGGACGTCCACATCTAACGGAGGGGGGGGCATGGAATATAATGGACAGCTGGGATGCAAATAGACGACTTGGACTTTGCAGATGATCTAACTCTCATATCCCATTCACCCCAAGAAATGCAGATCAAGACAACTAGTGCAGCAACAGACTCTTCATCAATAGGCCTCAACATACACGAGGTAAAAAGCAACATCCTCAAATAAAACATGGAGAACACTAACACAATCACACTGGATGGAGAAGCTGTGGAGACTTACACGTATTTGGACAGCATCATCGATGAATAAGGAGGATCTGATGCAGATGTAAAGACAAGGAATGGCAAAGCAATGACAGCATTCCTACAACTGAAGAACATAGGCAGCTCAAAACAACTGTCAATCAGTATCGAAATCAAAATCTTCAATACAAACGTGAAGACAGTACTGTTGTATGGAGTTGAAACGTGGAGAACTACCACAACCATCATCGAAAAGGCACAAGTATTCGTAAACAATTGTGTACACAAGACACTCAATGTCGGTTGATCGGATACCATCAGCAACAGTCTAGTGTGGGCAGAACAAATCAGCTTCCAACTGAAGAAGAAACTAGGAGAATATGTTGGTGGAGGTGGATAGGACATACATTGAAGAAATCATCAAAGTGCATAACGAGTCAAGCACTAAGTTTGAATCTTGAAGGGTAGTGGAAAAGAGGCAGATCAAAGAACACATTACGATTAGAATTGGAAGCAGACATAAAATGGATGATTTATTTTATTTTAACACATAAGTTTAGGTACAGGGAGGCACCAGGTACATATGTGCCACACGAATCTCAATTGATTTGTGTGAGGGCTGTGATACTGCCCGGGTGCCCAAACCGAAGCAGGTGGTTTTCTTAGGGGCCACACCCCGAGCCTTCGACCTGAATGTCTGACCCACAAGGCAGTGGAGCATCGCAAGGAGATGCAGTCTCATGGTAGCCGGTGACCAACGATTGGTTCATACGCCATTTGTTCCTTCAGGATACTGGAGCCAGCCCATGTGCACCATTGGTTTGGGATCCGATTAAAGCGCCGGATATTCGCTTTTCGTCCTCTCATTTTCGTAAACAACACCCATGCCACGAGAAGGCAGTGAGTAGGACTTCCCTGGCAGAGGCTATATACGCATGGCCATGTAAGAGCATTTCGAGGGGTAGAGCGGACTCTCCCCACTCTCGGCCGTACCAGGGCATTTGGATGAATCGCACATGAGAAGAACTAGAAGGGAAAGCTCATTACAGGGTTGGTTAGCGAATCCTGATGGCAGACTATGCTCTACGAGGTGTAACCGACTTAAGTTAATATTAGGGGTAAGGATGTCTATTAGGACATTTTGGCACCCGCTTTACAGCAAGCTATTAATAAATTGTATTATTATTCATTTATATGATTTATGTTAAGATGATTAAATGTGTTCCCCATCACAAAGTTGAAAACGAAGAATTATTGTAAACACTTGTCATTCATCGTTTCCAATATATCTGACTGAAGCTAGTCAGGACTTGGTTTAATTACTCAGGTAACAGTAATATGTGAGACTTAATATTCTTGAACTAGTTCCCATGGAATCGATAATGAACACTGTTGAGTTCTATTTAGAAATAAAACAACTATTTAATGTTCACAGGGGTTCTTCAGTTGATGTTAATCTATTGTAAAAACTACATTTATGGGTAGTATTACCAGAAACCAACCAGTTTAATCATAAATGCTAATAGTTCATTTAGAAAATTTATGTGAATTTGAAGTTATGATTTCAATTGGTACTTTGTGTAGTTAAACTTGTTTGTTGTCGTATAATGTCTTTCATAAAAAAGTCAATTGAATGCAATTTATTTGGGTTAATTTTAGTTGTTAGATTTAAATCTGGTGATTGACTGGATTATGAAAAAATCAACTTCTGCGGGGAAGCAAGGGATACAATGGATAGTTAGGATGCAGCTGGGAGATCTAGACTTCTCAGAAGATCTGGCTCTTCTATCACACACGCAATAACAAATGCTGGAGAAAACGACTAGTGTAGCAGCAGTAGATCTCAACATACATAAATGGATAAGAAAGGTTCTCCGATACAACACAACATGCACCAATCGACTCACACTTGATGGAGAGGCTTTGAAAGATATAAAAACCTTTACATATCTGGGTACCAACATTGATGAACACGGTGGATCTGATGCAGATGTGAAGGCGCGGATCAGCAAAGCAAGAGCAGCATATTTATAAGTGAAGAACATCTGGAACTCAAAACAACTGTAAACCAGCACCAAAGAACTGTCAAGACAGTTCTACTGTATGGGGCGGAAACTTGAAGAACTACGAAAGCCATCAACCAGAAGATACAAGTGTTTATTAATAGCTGTCTATGCAAAATACTTCGTATCCTTTGTCCAGACACCATCAGAAACAACCTGCTGTGGGAGAGAACAAACCAGATTCCAGAGGAGAGAGAAGCGCTGGAAGTGGATAGGACACACATTGAGGAAAGCACCTAACTGCGTCACAAGACAAGCCCTCACTTGAACATGTGGTGTGTTGATATCGAGTTACTAAATTGAATGTTATTTCATTAAAGACCTTTAGCTGATGATAAAAAAGGCTTGAATCCCATAATCTTTATTCACGAAGTGGTTGTGTTGCTATAATGATGCAATATACAGTCAAGTTAAAGCGAATCTTATATGTACTCAAATGACTGCAATAAAGGTAAAATTCCTCAATTAAAGTATAGTATATTAATAACAAAGTTACACTAAAAACATCGTGTTTATAGATCATAGTTTAGCTCTGATTACTCAACACATGTGGTATTTCACGGACTGCTCAAATGTTCCATAATGATTTTGATAAAAATGCATTTCTATAAATTTCACGCCATAGGAATAAAAGAAATGGAACAACTCATCAATGTGAAATCATCTGGATAGAATGTTGGTCAGAATGATAAGGTAACGTTATTATTTCTGTGATACAGATGAACTGCTGTACGAGATTCTGATCGATATCCTTAGGGAACATTTCTTTCGTGTCTCTATTTTCATGCTAAGTTTACTGCCTAAAGGTTATACTTAGTTTTACTTATTCATGTAAAGGTTTCTAATTACAATTGATTGTTATATGTCACTTGGCTTAATTGTTACACTAAAATAATCTTCCGTACTTATTCTTCTTTCCACAAACTTGGCACAAATCCATGAAGTCATTGACAAGTGGGCTGAGCCATGTTGGTAAGTATAGACTACCTGGTTGGGATCGGCGAGACCTTGAATGACATGGCTCAAAATCGTTTGCAATGGTGCAGGTGCATCCATTCATTGTCCTCTCCCAAATTCTAATCTTCTGAATTCTTCACGTCCCTTTTCTTCTCTTTCCAAACTTATTTCACTAGATTATACTCCTTAAATAACATCTTCAAACCCTAATCTTTCCGACTACTGCTTATACCTATACTATCTCTACCGCTACGGGATTTGAATCGACAATTGTATTTCTGTGCTAATGTAATATAGCAGCTCGAACTAATATACGTACGTACGAAATTCTATGTTGTTGATTGACTGACTGACTTCTTCCCATGAAACATCTAAATTTATTTACTTAATATTGAATTTCTTTATCACATTTACAGAATGTTGCTTTTTATTAATTTATGTTCCTTTCATATACACTTTGAATAGGGAACCTCTATAGGTAGAAGTTTCAGAAAAGAATAAACAATTTCCATTAAGTTATCATAATGATGTTTCTTTTTATACTCAATATCAACTTTTAAATATATGATAAAACAAATAGTGAAGTAGTAATAAATATTGCACTAAGAGTGATTTGTTTTACATTTTCTTTCTTTTTTTTTTTCCTCCTCAATAAACATGTCTTAATTTTTTCGATTCAGGTACAATTTTATTGTCAAATATATATTCAGTAGTTTTATTATTATTATTATTATTTCGTGATTTTGTTGATTTTTTCATTTGTTGAAGACATGAAGTAGTTTGGTGTTTAGTTAATAAACCCATACGTGAAAATGTCCTATCACAATGTAGACATTGATAACGTTTTACTTCAGAATGTGTTTGCATATGTGCTCTTAAATTAGATCTATCAGCAAATGCTCTGGTGCATATCATACATGCAAATGGCTTTTCACCCGTATGAGTTCTTAAATGTCCATTTAATAGCCACATTCGTGAAAATGCTTTACCGCATAAATTGCATTTACACGGTAATGTATGCGTACGTACATGCATTTTCAATGCAGACATTGAATAATAGACTTTATTACACAAATGGCAAAAATATGGATGTCCATAATGATGATCTGGTACAGATGTTACTGTTGTTGTTGGGGTCATCGTAGGATTCATTTGACTTGAACAATCACTATTACAACAATCCTTGTTTCTACTGCTAGAGTTCGAAGAAATAACACTAAGTCCTATTGATGAGTTACCAGCAGTATTTGGCAAAACATTTCGTGATTTATTCATACTATACATATTTTGATATGCTTTACCATTTTTGTTGTCATGAATCACTAGTTCATTACTTTCTGTTACATTTACTGATGATGGTGATGATGAAGTTAATGGAACACCTGGTGAATTTGCCTGCCTCAAATATTGATCAGTATGCAAACTATTTGTATGTTTTAATAGGCTAGTTTGTGTAGAAAATGTGTGATTGCATAGCCGACACTTGAAACGCTTATTTCTTGTGTTATTTCCTGATTTTTTAGTACCAGAAACTTTGGTACTATGGTCAGTTGTAGAATTGTCGACTACATTATTTGGTGTGTTAATTAATTCTAAGATTGAAAATTTAGGTTTTTTAACCCACGGTGATGATGCATTTAATTGTCCATCTTCAGAATCATGATTGTCATTATTGTTTATGTTACCTTTGGTAGAAAACACAGTGGAATCTACAGAAAATTTGGATTGTGACGTATTTAAATTACTTATCACAGACGACTGGTGCATTAATTTCACATAAGGATTATTTATGCTTAATAAATTGTTCAGTGTATTCAATATCGATGAAATATCCTTTGGATTATAGTAATAATTTAAATAAGGATTTGCAATTAATGATTCATTTATTTTTGTCATTGGCTGGTCAACAGATAAGGTATTAATGGTTCCACACTGTTGCATATTCTCTCTTGAATTCGCATCTGTTGACAGTATTGATAAATCAATAGGTTTCATTGATGAATTAACTGCTACCATGTCTTGTGTAGATATCAGTTTATCATCATTACGGTAATAATCATTATTGACTTGATATTGTTGTGTAAGATCTTTTTGTCTAAGTGAATTACCAGGACATCCGTCGAAAAACAAATTCCATAGTGCTAAATTATTCAGTAAATTGTTCGAATTCAAGTGTTCCGATGTCAATTTCAGGTTTTCCGTGTAAATATTACGTTGAGTAACACTTTCTAAAAAGGTGGAAATATAAATTAAAATTGTTAAGAAATTAAATGGTATTGTTATGTATAAAGGTAATGTATATTCTACATTAATCTGTAACGGTATTTAATAAAAAAAGGAGTTGATAAAAATGTGTCGCTCAATTTCGTGGATTGGTTGAAGTTAGACATTAACACCGTTGGACGCCGGTTCAGTGGTCTAGTGGTTAAGTGCTTGCACGTGGAACCAGTAGGTCCTGGGTTTGAGTTACGCAGGGGGCGAGGTCGTGGATGCGCACTGATGAGGAGTCCCACAATAGGACGAGACGGCCGTCCAGTGCTTCCAGGTTTTCCATGGTGGTCTAGCGTCAACTGACTCATGATCTTAACTATTGATAAAAATTTGTTTAAAATTCTATTAACTCAGCGGAATAAGTAGTTATTTTTCATGAAAATCCAGATAATATTTGAAGTAATCAAGTAAACCGAATGAAGGTATAAGAAAGTTCAAGAATTGTAAATTATGAATAGTGTCCTTTTTGTTTAAAAAAAATTGTTATTGTACAAAAAACATTCTTGTAAATAACAAATGTTTTAAGATGGTGAAGAAAATTTGTAGCTCAAGTGGATGATTTAAGTGGAGTTTTGTTCTCTGAGCTACCTACATTCTACCTGGATTTTGTTCTGATGATGTTGTTCGGAAGAACAATGAAAGCTCCACGATCAAAACATCCAGCTCAGAGAATAAAACTTCACCTAAAACAAATATTTCTTCATCTTAAACTGAGTGACTGTGGCAAGTAAATTTCGAATCTGAATATCAAAAACTGAAATACCGAGTTTGACTGTGGATCTTTCTAAGTCTTATTAAAATATTGAATGATTAATATTTCAGGCAGAAAATTACTTATGAAGAGTGATTCCAGACTTACTATGAAGAGTAGATGTCCTCTTTTCTACTAAATGTGTTTATCTTCAAACTTGGAGATTAAAACCAAATTTATCTCAAGATGTAAACAGCGCTTAGAATGAGAATGTAAAAATATTCGTTTCCCCCAATATAATGTCACACAGTCGCAAGCAACAGATGGGGGCGTGTCTGCTACCCATTTAACCGACATAGTCATTTAATTACTCGCATCCTTAGGTACTATTAAAAAGGCTATTTTTTCAATAAATTCTCTAAACTACTTTAAAGTAGTATAAATATAATAAGGTAACATTCCATATTGGCTTAGCAACTGAATGACTGGTTTTGTTCATCCAATTGATAAAGTACCACAAGTATATTTCAATCTCAAATTTATCCTCATTTTTTAATACAAAATCCAGAGAATATTTTGTTCCCGATAAAGTCGTATACGTGCAAATAAGTAACAACCTAATAATTATTTTGTAATAAATCGAGATGTAACGTATAAAGTCGAAGTGACACTTATTCGTTTCAGCCCTTTTTTAAAAATTATAGACAAGAAAGAACAATGAACCATTAAAACAAAGGAGGGGGATAAAACTGTGAATTAATTATCTCTGTTGAACATCAGGATTACAGGTTACTTATATAAAAAAAAACGTAATTCTTAATGACCTGATGATATTTTCTCAGTGAATCAAACAGAAATATCTTGTCCTTTATGAATAAAATCTCCTGTGGAGAGGATTTTTTTTCATTACAAAAATCTACACATATATAAACAAAGTGTATGTAGGACAAATATATTTTCACTGGTTGAAATCATGAATCCATTGAAGCTAGACCACCATGGAAAACCTGGAAGCACTGGACGGTCGTTTCGTCCCAGTATGGGACTCCTCAGCAGTGCGCATCCACGACCTCGCTCCTCGAGAGATTCAAACCCAGGACCTATCAGTCTCGCACCGAATGCTTAACCAACTAGACCACTGAGCTTCAATGGATTCATGATTTCAACCAGTGAAATTTCTAAAAAATCTCCACACAATCCCTTCTGAAAATGTATTTTCATTGAATCAAAAGTGTTTAGGGCATAAAAAACATTTTGATTTATGTGTACATAAAAAGTGGCTTTCATGTGGTGGATTCTTAAATTTACATGATTATGTTTGGATGGAAGTGTTATTTCTATCCTGCTGAGCAATTTTTTTCTTTTTTTTTTAGAGGAAACGATGATTATTGTCTGTGCATTAATAGAAGATAAAATGACAGACGGAATAAATGTGAAATGAATAAATCAAAAATATTGTAATTTGACAAATTCATAGATCAATTTGATGCGCTATCAATTACAAATTTATACAACTTTTGTCATTATATTACTTACAAAATTAACACCATGAAATAATACTTTTTGGGCCTTTATATAGAATAGGACTTTGATAAAACTATTGTAATTCAATTGTATGAAAGTTTGTTAGTAGTCTGGAGAAAAACACACAAACACACACAAAAGTCAAGAAACTTCAATAGTTCACACGTATCTAAGTGAAAATCTAAATCTAAATATTGAGATTAGGAATAGAATGTTGAAGAGGATTAGATATTTATGATATGAAAATTATTCGTCCAACTTCATAGTTAATGTTCTCATTTAAAACTTGGTATATCATTGAACATATGAGGTGATGTAAGTTGGACCATGTTTTTAACAGTGGTCTAATTTAAATCAGTTAATGATTTCAAGTAATTTCAACAATATTAACAACCCCAAATTGAAAACTTAGTGTACATTGGTAAAGAGATAAGTGTAGACAGTTAGTTTGTTCCTTCAACAAGATATTACTTATTCATGTTACACCTCGAGGAAAACCATGGGTCGTCCACTAAGATTCTCTAACCAACCCTGTAATGAGCTTTCCCTTCTAGTTCTTCTCATGCGCGATTCATCCATTTTATGTCTGCTTCCAATTCTAATCGTAATGTGTTCTTTGATCTGCCTCTTTTCCACTACCCTTCAAGATTCAAACTTAGTGCTTGACTCGTTATGCATTTTGATGATTTCTTCAATGTATGTCCTATCCACCTCCACCAACATATTCTCCTAGTTTCTTCTTCAGTTGGAAGCTGATTTGTTCTGCCCACACTAGACTGTTGCTGATGGTATCCGATCAACCGACATTGAGTGTCTTGTGTACACAATTGTTTACGAATACTTGTGCCTTTTCGATGATGGTTGTGGTAGTTCTCCACGTTTCAACTCCATACAACAGTACTGTCTTCACGTTTGTATTGAAGATTCTGATTTCGATACTGATTGACAGTTGTTTTGAGCTGCCTATGTTCTTCAGTTGTAGGAATGCTGTCATTGCTTTGCCATTCCTTGTCTTTACATCTGCATCAGATCCTCCTTATTCATCGATGATGCTGTCCAAATACGTGTAAGTCTCCACAGCTTCTCCATCCAGTGTGATTGTGTTAGTGTTCTCCATGTTTTATTTGAGGATGTTGCTTTTTACCTCGTGTATGTTGAGGCCTATTGATGAAGAGTCTGTTGCTGCACTAGTTGTCTTGATCTGCATTTCTTGGGGTGAATGGGATATGAGAGTTAGATCATCTGCAAAGTCTAAGTCGTCTATTTGCATCCCAGCTGTCCATTATATTCCATGCCCCCCCTCCGTTAGATGTGGAGGTCCTCGTAATCTAGTCAATCATCAAAATAAATAGAAAGGGTGAGAGTAAGTAATCCACACTTTCAATCGCTTTCTCATAGTCAGTCGTATTGATATATAGTGACGATTTTCATTCAACCAACAGCCTAACGATTATCCGTAGTGTCGCGATTCGGTCTATACACGACTAGCCTTTTGATCTGAAAGCTTAGCATCTACTAAATTTTTCATTTGGTTCAGCAACACTCTGTTGAAAATGTTTCCTAACTGCGATCGTAGTATGATGCTTTTGTAGTCCTCAGAATTGCTGAGATCTATCTTTCGGATGCTGATTAGGTATCATTCTTTCCAATCTGTTGATGGCACTTGTTCCTCCTCTCAAATTTTCCTGAATAGAACATGGAGCATGTTTTCAGTGACTTCTATGTCTGATAGCTGTAGGAGGGTCTGTGTGTGCTGCTTCAATGTCCAGTGGGATTAATTGATCAGGTCTATTTAATGGTTCTTCTTTGTGTCCTACTCACCTGTTCCGCAGTTTTTGAACGGCGGTGACTGGGTTCTGTGGTTTTCTATGTTTCCCTTTTTGTTTCTTGATTGGATCACGTAGTTGTTTCACATTCCCTTCTCTTGCAGCTTTTTTGCTGTCGTTACTAGGTGTTCGACGTATTTCTGCTCGTCAGCTCTAATGCTCCTCTTTACTTATTTGTTTGCTTCTGTGTACTCAGTTTATGTCTTGACTTTCTCTGTTCTTGTTCGACTGCTGTTAATTGCTGTTTTCGTGCTCTTCCTCTCTTGAATCTTGTCCAGGGTTTCGATACAGTTCAATTCCTTATAATGATGCTTGTTGCGGCTTAGCATCTCCTGACATATTGAAGTTAGTGCCTCTTTAATCCATCTCCAGTTGTCCTCCATAGTAGTTTCATCAAGGTTCATACAATTAGTAAATTTAGAAGCTTTTTATAACTTCCTTATGTTTACTGAAATCATTTTGTAACTTACAAACTATACATGCATTGCACTTCATACATACTTTTTTTTATCACTATACAAAAACAACTACTTCAATGTACCTAATTTTTATTTGTCATTCAGTAGAACTCAATTATAAAAGTTACTTTCAAATTCATTGAACATGTAAAGCGATTGCATCAAGATGAGTTTCGTAGTCTTTTTTTTTTTTTTTTGGATCAACTTAATGGCTAATTGTGACAATTGTAAATCCTTTTTTATTAAAAATATCACTAGCGGTCAAAATAGAGAAATGTTAATATATAGTTTGGCAGTGTAATATTCAACAATAAGCAATCAAGATTAGGAAATAAATAATTACTGAACATTGAGGCTAGTTATTCAAATTTACACCAAACTATATCAATGTTAAACTTCATGGATATGTAATTGTCATTAATCAAATGGATTTAAGTTTGACATAAATTCCCGAGAAAGAATAACGAACATATATTAACTATGAATTTCAAATAAATTGAGCATTGAGTAGATTGTTATAAATAAATAAAATAATCTATTTGTAATATCCCAATGAGTAGAAAAATTAGATTTTCTGATGTTTCGTAACTTAGTGTAAGTCACTTCTTCAGAGAATAAATAACCAAATTAAAACTAATCCAAGTTTAACTGGTACAAAGGAACAACAAGAATGTTGTTGTTTCTTTTATATATACACAATTAATCAACGATTATTACTTCACTCACATCTTATGAAACTAGTTGTCTTGATATATATATATATATATATATATATATATATATATATATATATATATATATATATATATATATATATATATATAGCATTTAACATGCATAACATTCATAGAACTTATCTCACAATACATATTTATTATAAAGTATGAAATTTTTATTGGAAGTTGGTGAACTGTGTTTATGCACTGTCAGTAAGTCAACAATTGTCATTATCATTAATCAGAATATTGGAAAAGAATAACTCTTAGAACAATTTGACAATATACACTTAGTAATCAGATTTATATATAAAGGGGAACTTGATGACAAATTAAATTTCCTTGAAGTTTTGATGAACAGAAAAGTATATAATTCTATCAGTGGAAGCGTGTACAAAAAAAGTTCTTCAACAAGCCAATACACACCTTTCATGAGTTTTGTACCCATTTATTACAAGAGAAACCTATTTAGACGTCTTGCAAGTAGAACTATGCAGATATAATTAGACGGCACCATAAAAAAGGAACTTCAGCCTATTCATAATATGTTGTTTGAAATAGGTTATTCACAAGGTTTCATCAGAAATACTCGCATATAGTGAACAGAAGAATATTGACATCAAGGGTTCGTTAGAAACCAATTTTACTGAAACTACAATTCAACGAAGGTGTATCTAGTGATGTACGGCGAGATGTACTGACTAAAGCAATGAAGAGGACATTTGATGCAGGTAACCTGTTTATCAATTTTTTACCTGACCCATAGTGGTTCCTCAATTGGAGGATAAGTTACCTGGCTTCACTACATTCGTGTGTATCTGCGAATTCAGCTGCTCCTGGGTAAGAAGCTATGTTGGGCGTGCAATGAGATAACTGATTGAACGAGTTAGTGGATACATCTCTTCGTAGTTTATAAAAGGTATGGTCAAACAATACACAGCTCCTCTCTGTCACACTTGATCGATAGTAGTTATGCAGTAGATAGAAATAAATCATTCAAAGGAATTTATGGTATACCTGTTACATTTCCTTATGGAATTCCATCTCATCCCTTAAACATAGCAGAAGCTATAAGGATTCGAGCTGACAACCCAAGTTTTCGAGTTCGTAAGAAATTTGTAACACCCTTTTCAGCCTTAAGAAACGATTTTATTGACTATTATATTCCATACTCTTTGTTCGTTTATTTTTCTTCACTGCTTAACTTTTTGCACATTTCTTATTACGTCATTTTAATGAATCTTATTTCAGTGTCTATATTTTCAAGTCATTGACCTATTTCTTTTTTTGAAACATTGGTTCAAACCCTTATTATTCTTATCATGGCTAGTACGCTTGTAATTGTACTATCAGTTTGTACTTTTTATTTTTTTTTGTTTATTTATGACATCTATTTTTGTTTCTTGTTCAAAAACATATGGTTCTGTAGATATTCGGGATAATGAAGCAAAAAAGACGAATTCAAAGTGTATCTATATCCACTGTTTACTTGAGTAATTCCTTATAAACTAACAATTAAACATAATAAAAAATATTCTTAAATAAAACCACGTTAAACTAGGATAGAATTGTGATCTAAACCAGATAAATTTATAAGCAAAAATAGATGGTGACTAGTAATGGAATCCAGGACATGCGTTTCATCCCATTTGGGACTCGTCGACCGAATGTACCCGGATCTCAGAATTGATGCTCACTTCAAGACTTGTACCAAGTAACATTTGCTTTAAGCGTCATCTCTGCTTAAAATGCTTTAGAATCAACATTAATATCGAGGCAAACTGTACAGAATTCACATATGCCAAGAGGTGATTGATTGAATGTAGTCTTCAACATCGATGGAAGGATTTATGCTTCCAATATAAATGAATTAGCTAGATTTACTTTTACAACTTCAAATGATAGTTTAATTTTTCTTAGAGCTTTAATAAAGATCTTATGCTGACAATTCATTCTTAAAGATAGTAATTATTTGAAACTATTTTCATATTCATTCATCTTGATAAATCATTCTTGTTTTTCTTATGATAATGAATTACCCTTCAAGAATATTTATATGTATTAGGTCAAAGAGTAGAATCTGTTCATCACTTCTAATAGTTGAATAAACTTATAACTGGTCATTAGGATAAGTAGTTAATTGTAGGAAATAAACTCCCCATTATTAAAATATATTGTTAACAATTTCCTGTCGTTACATGTTCATAATCGAAATCATGAATCAATTGAAGCTAGACCACCATGAAAAACCTGGAAGCACTGGACGACCGTTCCGTCCTAGTATGGGACTCCTCAACAGTGCGCATCCACGATCCCGCACCCCGCGGGATTCGAACCCAGGACCTATCAGTCTCGCGCCAGGCGTTCAACCAACTAGACCACTGAGCCGGCCAGCATCCATCGATGTTAATTTCTAACTTCAACTAATCCACGAAGTTGCGCCACCGTCACCATTGTCTTCAGTGAGCTGATATCTCACAACAGACCTGGTTGAACTCCACTGGTCACTACTTCTCACTAGAACTCCAGGATATACCTCTTGAAGCCAGTCACTAGTGAGCACTGCTGAGGAGTCCCATACTAGGACGAAACGGCCGTCCAGTGCTTCCAGGTTTTCCATGGTGTTAGTCTAGCTTCAAATGACTCATGATCTCAACTATTGAAATTACCAATTCTCTACAAAACCTATTCTAGTAATATTCATAATCATCAATATGCTTAGAAATCTCAATAATGATAACAGCATAAAATTATTATATTCGTTTGTTAATTAAGCATTTATGAACTGTCGGTTGATTGTTCACGTTTAATTAATTATAATAGACAAATTATAATAAGAAAAATGATTAACTTTTCTCTTCCAGAGTATGCATCATCAACCAAATGGTAAGACAGAAATCGGCTGTTATTGTTGTTGTTGATGATGATGATGATGCTTCGGATGATGATAATTTTCTGTAACTTATAATCTTGATTTGTCTAACCTGTACAATTTAGTGTTTAATAGAATAGCATAATTGATCAATTTTAACATGACTGAGTTATAAACACTATTAAGTTCAATAAATATTCTCATCTGTTCAATTTACGTAAATTTACATCTCAGTTTATCAAGAGGAAAGTAAATGAATTGACCCAGAAGAATTAAACATAAAGAATGGTTCTCAAAAATAACTAATGAAATCAAGGAATATAAAATTTGAAATGATATGAACATCCATTTGGATTACCATTGTAATAGAAATAACCCAGGAATATTTTGTTAGACTATTTTTTGATTCGTGATTGAAATTAGTGAGCATGATTTTACTTTTCAAAACAAAAAACAAAAAACAAAAAAATGATCAACTATATTATGACATGATTACTTTTTAATTATGATTTAATGTTAAATGAACATAGTTGATAAAAATCAGAGTAATGAAGTTCTTTTGTTCTATCCTAGCATAATTTTTTTTTGAATACCACAAGTCTCCCAAAAAGTACAAAAGTTTATCTGACAATTTCATAGTAAATACTAGTCATATTATGTTAGAAATACTGAACTGGTTATCTCTTCAAACACAAATCAATGTATACCCCGAATTGATTGAGTCTATCAATAATACTCAATGTTATACCTTCAATAGCATATAGAATAAAATCTAGTAATTAGAAGTTATATTATATTTAGACAACTTTTCAATTAGTAACAGTTTAATTTAAAAGTTAATTAATCATTCATGAATTGGTAATGTGAATGTATAGAATAGGACCACTATTTATCATTCAGTAGTATCATTTTAATTTATACATAATATGTTCTTAATATATTGATGGATAACAGATGACCTACTTCAAAAAAAAAAAAAAGAAAAAACTGATTAAATTTTGTATTCCGTAGAAAAACTCAGTCAAAAATCATAACTGTATCACAAATTAGTTTTAAGATTATGATTATAATTAAAAAGATATTAAACCGAATAGTTGCCAGTTTTTTTTTGTTTTTGTTTTTTCAACATACTTTAACAGTTGGATATCTATAAGAAATAAACTATCATTAGGTTCTATTCGTACAATAATCAGTACAAGAAAAGTAAAGACAGAAAAAACTGTTGTTGTTTTCTTTTCCAACTAGCTTGTGATCACATTAACTTTATACGGCTATTTCTAAACAGTTCACTTGATAATATTTGATAAAATTTAGGTAGTTGAATAATTGATAGAAAAAAAGTGTTGATCATTAAGTTTAAAGGTTGAATGATTTTTGCACATTTTCAACATCATAATTTCATACTAAAACTAAAATCACAAAACTATACAAATAAATGAGAACAAAATGAAATGTCACTGGTTGAAATCATGAGTCAATTAAAGCTAGACCACCATGAAAAACGTCCTAGTGTTGTACTCCTTAGTAGTGAGTGGATCGTGGATGTACACTGCTGAGGAGTACCACACTAGGACGAAACGGCCGTCCAGTGCGTCCAGGTGGTCTAGCTTTAATTGACTCATGATCTTAACCATTGAACTTACTACAATCTCCATAAAACCCCTTCTGATAAAATGAAATGTGTCAGAAATATTGACTATTAAATCCTGTTTCCATTAACATGTACAATAAATAGTATTCATGAAAGATGGAGATGAACTAATCAAATAATCTTTTACAACACTTTGCAATAACAACAGAAACCAATTATTTTATATAACAATAATGATCTACTCTCATAGTCATGCCACTGTTTCAGATATTTCAATAAGGAACAAATAATAATCTCAGTGAAATAGTATGAATTGATCTATTCAGACAATTCTCTCCTTCTAGTAACAATCTAAATACAACAGTATTAATTCATTCAATAAACGAATGAACTTATCTTAGATGATGTTTACACGAAACGTTTCATCAAATTTGAGGATAACATAAAAGTGGATTAGTTAACAATGACAATTGTAGAATAATTCGAGCAATTGTTCATCAAGATAATTATTGACAATTTCAAGTGGAGAAGGTTATGAAAATAAGCACTAAAAAAAAAATCAATATCCTAGATTACGTCGTAGCAATTATAAAATGATTTGAGTTTCACAGTAAAATCAATGAAAATCCGATAATCAGTGCAAAGGAATTTGTAATTGAAGATATAAGATAATATATCAATGCAACGAATTATGAAGACTTAGATCCCAAGGTCAATGACATATTGGTCGAACTATCCTCTTGAATTTTTTTTTTTTCTTTTTTGATACTCATGGCCTTGGAAAAATGCCGTAAATTTAAATCAATTTCTTCAATAATTCTTTTAAAAGATTTTAAATTGCTGATATTAACTTTACTATCAAATGAATAACAAACGATGACCATGTAGAAAAAAAAATGCTTCAGTTTTAGTTTCCATGCAATACGTTTTAAATTCAAATTATTTCTATTAAGTATTATTCCTTTTTTTTTTTGCTATTCCCTAAAGTTATCAGTCGATTTAAACTGTTCACCATGGATTTAAATATAGTAATTTTCTAAAGGTTGTTTTTATTATATTTTTTAAATTAAGTATTATAGTTCGGGTATCGAATTTTATTGTAATGATAGATAGTTGACTAAACCATTGACCAGTTATTATACTACATACAGTTCTTCATTTATACCTGTTATGAATTCAGCAAGGTATGTAATAAATTAGTTTTCTTTTTTTTTAAATCAAAGATCAACTTTCAAGTTTATAGTAATTTCGTTATTTTCTGTGTTCATTGAAACTAAGTCATTCACCAATTGTGACATGTATATTCAGCCTCAAAATAATAGGTAGCTGGGTGTCATTTAAACAGACACTTGATGTTGGAGGCCATATTATCAAGTTAATAATAAACACCATACGACTAGTCTCCTTCTTTAAAGCTTAATTTAGTAAGTTTTATGTATAAACATAATTTTAAGAAGCTTTTATATGCAGCAATATAAACATCAACAAAGGGGATGTAATCACGGCCGCCTTCTTGAATATCTGGGCTACATGTTCCTTCCATCTAGATATTTCGTCGAGTTATCTGTTTTCTTTTTTTGTTTTAACACATTATTATGTTTATTAGGCTCACAACCGATTCAGGCGCGTTTACGAAAAGTTTACAACCTTTCGCTGTACGGATTACAAAAAGGTAAAACCAGCGACATCATGGTGGCTTGCAATATGCATTGAAACGAATGAATATTATTCAGATGTCGATTACCGAACTCCTAACATCTAACTGGCCATCACTCAATATTTATCTTCAGGATCGATCAAGATATAAGAAAAGGAAACCTGTTGAAATACTTTATGCTGAGAATTCTATATTGTACCAAAAATATAATGTTGAATAAAGCTTATAATAATAAATCTTATTGATAATTTGTCAGTTGTTTTTATAAGTTTCAACGATTCAATAAACCAAGTTCAATTCAGAAGGAAATGACTTATAATTTTTATCTATGATTAACCTAATCCCTTACTTATATGAGCAGATAATCTTTAGGAAAGCTAAATTGTACCGAAAATAGTTAGCCTTAATCCTGTTATTAATGTTTATTATTAGTCAATAGAGGTAAGATAACTCTTGAACACTAACCTTTTAAAGAAATGATATAATTTTAATGAATACACCTTACTTTTCTTAAGGTAAACAAAATTTTTTATTGTGTTGTCTGTATCCAAGGTGGACGAGCGGATAAAATGGAGAACATTTCTATGTGATCAAAATCATATTGAAATTCAATTGACTATCACCACTATCAGAATGACCGAAAGTATCTTTCTAAGTGAACTACAATGTTCATAACTTCTAAAGACTAAGAATTTTCTTCAATTATCCATGAACATACTTCTTTAATTTTAACTCATATAATCTTGAGTGATGCTAGTTTTTCAAAATGTAGACAATGATATATTTTAAAAACTACTCAGGTTCTATAAGATGAAACAATGGCAATTTGTTACAGTTAACTTTGTTAATTAAAATGTATTCGTTTAAGCGGAGATTACAGCAATATGATTTACTTATCTACTTCCATTTTTTTTAAAATTTGTATTAATGGTATTCTAGTTTGTTTTCTTTTTTTGTTTTCTATACGTAGATGTATACGAATAAAGTTATTAAAAATAAACAATAATTTGCTTGACTTCTGTTCAGCCTCTTATTGATCAATCTGGTACAAACTGCTCATGAGTTATTTTTGTTTTAGCCAAAATGATTACAATTTTATAAATTGGAAAAGTTTTACATATTTCTATGTTTCTCATTACATTTTATTAATGTAAACAGATATGGTTTATTTTAATTTTGTGTCAAATAATTCACCATTATTAATACTCATTTACTTTCGGTGACATATATATATATATACACTGACATAGTAGTAAGATGGTGAACTGTTTACAGGAGTAACAAAAGGAATCCTTTTAATATATACAGATAACATTTGATATATGTTAAGGATAAAATAAATAAAAAAAAGAGGTATGTATACCCACTTTTATAAATAAATTAAAAGGGGATCAATTTTACAATTATTATTAGTACATAAATATATGTATACATATTTAAATTAATGAAATAATAAATAAAGGGCATAACTGCCGATAATAGTAACAGTAATAGTCTTAGTACCAGTAAACTATGAGCATATGATTGATTATTCCGGGAAAAATATCTTAAATATTCTTAAGATGCTTTGATGTATATTAGTTAACTTTTAAATATTTCTGTGTATCTGTAACGTTCAAGGAATAAATTTGAATGTACACAGGAAAAAGAACATGGATATCATTGTGTATTAATTATTTCTGTAAAGAATAATAATAATTCTTCTATTTTGGTATACATGATTGTCTTTTCAGAAGTAAGATAATTATTGAGTGTTTCACTTGATTTTTTAGATCTCTAGTCGTTTAGAAATTAACTAAATCTTATAATCTCGCAGTGGGGCGAGGTCGTGGATGCCCACTGCTGAGGAGTCCCACAATAGGACGAAACGGTCGTCTAGTGCTTTCAGGTTTTCCATGGTGGTCTAGCTTCAACTCACTTATGATCTTAACCATTGAAATTATAATTATTAGTTAATTAAATAATAATATTAGTAATAATAATAATAGAAGCGAATTTGTTTTCTTAATAAATGATCCATTGTATATAATACAGTGGTACAAATAAACAATTAACTCACCAATAAATGAACGTAGATATTCATTATAATAACTTGAATAAGTGTTTTGCATTATTTCACTAGTAAACAGTAGTGCCAGTAATAACAATATGATAAAACCAAGCGGGAGTTTGTTGTTTCTCCGGTAGAAAGAGAATTAAATCAGAAACGATTAATGAAATTGTATGTTGAAGTGACAATGGTTGATTATGAGCACTAATAAATAGTTAATTGAATATTACTACTACTTTCGAAATGGTTTGATAATGTTGACGTTTTGAACTACTCGAATATATATGCAAAGTATTTTTATCTTGGCCAAATCGGTCACGCTTTATTATCCCTCTCTTAATCAGTGACATTTTGTGCACTATGCCAACTGTTATTGTGTGCTATTATTATTCCTACTTACAGTTTATTGGAGATAGTGCTGACAGTAAATATTTTATAGGCAAAAGGGGAGAAATTTTGTCAGTAGACTAGGTGCAGTTAGATCTAATTACAAATGTGTGTATGTGTATGTGTGTACGCGTGACGGTGTCTGGATATGTATGTACACATATTTCTAAATACCATTTTCTTATAGATGGGGCTGTACTGATATGCATACAAATAATCTAGAAAGACTGAATTACCGTATTGTGTCCTATCCCGAGTCAATTTTATAATTACTGAAAACAGTTATTATTATATACAAATTTCGGAACTCCCAATCTCTTCATTCATTCATTTATTCATTTCCTAGTCACCTATTACTTTTGTCCAAATGAATACCTAGCAATTGGGGAAAGGTATACAAAAATCAAACAATCTGACGATTAGTAAATTTTAAAATTCTCTGCTAACGTTTTTGTAAGTAATGATATTTCAATATTAGTGTATTACAACCATGATTGTGAAAATATTATACCAATACAATAAGCTTTATGTAACTTTTGGAATGTTATTTAAGCACAAATGTCTATAAATTAATACACTGAATCATTGAACCCTACTTAATATTTTACTAACGGCATTATCATTGATTTCAAGGTCTTCAAGAATAAAGTACATGATAAACACACTTTTCATTATACTGGACTTCATCTAACGTGAAGTGGATGTCACCGACATCACTAAATAGTAGTAGTGTTATATTACGAGCTAAGTGGAACAAGAAACATGAACTACTGAACGCCAATTCGGTGATCTGAGGGTAATGCGCTTAAATGTCTTACATGTCTCCTGAGAGAGGAGATAAGTGTACTCTGTTGAAAAGTTCTATACTAGGACGAAATATCTATTCTATGGTTCTTATTATTCAGTGATCTTACAACTGATGTCAGTCTGTTGTTATTGTTGCGCCCAAATCGAGCAATCTCCATATATCTTGTTTCCTAAGGAGGTTCAATAAGCCATACAGATCATATTTAACTGACGTAATCAACGATTTTTGAAAACATTTGGTGATTCAAACCATCGTCTTTCGAACGAATTGTTTTACAGTTTGCCAGTTAGTGATGATTAGCTATCTGGTTTGGTTATAAATAGTAACCGCACATTTTTCTACTATCTGCTCTTTAATTTCATTCACTGGGTATAATATGCATGACTTTTCAGCTATTTTAAATTAACTTAGTTGATCTTTATTCATAGCTACATGGTTTGGCGCACTCTATTGTTATCCACTCAACCAAACAAATATGGTACGATTCGTTTATTCATTTAGCTATATTTTATAAGAGCAAAAAAAACAAACAAGATTTGGTGAATAAACTGCTTACAACTGTATTTAGTTAGTGAGTTTTGTTCCCTTTGACTTTCATAGTGTCTTCTATTAACATTTCCAGAACCCATTCTTAAATAAAAATGAATTTACAGCAGTCAATATTATAGTTTATTCATAAATATACACATAAAAATGCAAATAAATAACCGACGATTCAAAAGATGAAACTCAGCCTAAAACTTCTTCTGAATTATTTCGTTTCTCCGGACATGAATGTATTTCAAGGTTATTCTTTGAAATTATGCAATAATTCTAAAATGGTATTTTAAACAAAAATTAATACTTTTATAGATCTCTTACGATTTGATGACACATTATAAAATAATTTGTCTCAACATGGATTCTGCAACATTAGGATTTGTACAACATTTCAAAATTAAATGCGAAAATTCAATTCCTTTATTTTTATTGCCTCAGAGTCTCAAAATGTTATCAAACTGATTAGTTAACTGTAAGGACTACACGATCACTGATTAGGTATTTCAACAATTGAGCTGTAATGTATAATGATTGACTATTGTCTCAATCAGTCAAGTATATTTTAAGTTACAGAATGAATAAAAAACTAGTGTTCAGATATGTTTATTAATTTTTGCGAGACTATAAAGGATAGATGTAATTCTGAAGCAAACTTACAACTTGATCAAAAAGGTCTAGTTTTATAGTTCAGTCTTTGGTTGCAATCTCGTTACCACCCCTATTGTTTTATATAACCATATATATATATTTTTAATATGAAAAATCGTTACAAGGTAATTTAATAAACACAAATATCCTAAAAATCTTACCTCTTAGTTGATATAGAATTTAAGTATTTAAGATCAAAATGTGACTTCAGATCTTCCAGATATTCGATAACCAGCTACGAGCTTACGAGTAAATTATGATTCTGAACTATGTTGTAATAATAAATGGGAATCAATGAGAGTGACAAATATACTTAAAAAACAGTGTTAAGTTAAAATTACGAGAAATAAGGGAAAAAAACACAAATGAGTCATAATGTCTAGGCGAAGAGATTCAGTGAACATGCCAAATTAACTTTCATTACAAATACTAACAAGAACTAAGGGATCGGAATGGTTCACTACCCTTTACTAAACAATAGTAAACAAGCGAAAATCTTTCTCCAGAGAATACCAAGTTACCTGTCCTCACTTTAAAGTCAAGTCATTACAATCCAGATGACCGTTCAAATAAAAAATCTATTGGGTATAAATCCTCTGATTCGTACCACATGAATTTATTATTCCCCCTAACATGCACCCATGTAACATGCAAAATAGAGTAGTTTTTGCATTATTAATCCTAGCGAAACTTCTCCGTTTTTATTTAACAGACCTTAATTGATATATATCTTTTAATGCTAGGTGGTTTAAGACGATCGGCATAAACCTCAAAACTGATGCTCCCAGGGGTATGTCAATTTGGACTCTATATAACACATAAGTTTCTCCAATATTTCAAATATACTTAGCAAGAAACCTAGGTTCAATAGTTTCTACTGATCATATCCACCTGTCTTACATCAAAAGGTAGTATGTGTATTATCGCATCACGTGAACTAGTTTTTAGACCAAAACTTGGTCGATGGAATTAAATGAGTATTAAGAATTCAAAAGAAATATAAGCTTCGTTATTACTCGTTGATCAATCAATAAAGGTATTTCTATTTTTTAAGCAGATCCTTGAAGAATAAAAATATTTTATGAATTAACCTGGTGAAATTCTTTATTTTTAAACATCTAGAACAAGTCTTCTGGCTAACATATAACATAACAAGGATTAAGAGTGTGATGATGTACTATCCAGTTATAACAATGTAGGCTTATACGAGAATCTGGTTTCTCTTTCCGGATACCTAAAACTCATTAATCTAGGAGTTTTGTAAATACTGTTTTCTATCGTTAGGAATCTCATTCTGTAGCTTCAGTTAAATAAAACTTTCAAGAAATTATGCAATCATTATCGAGTAGTAGTTTCATGTTGGGTTTTTTGACTCGTTATCGTTTACCATTTAATGAAGTATGTAAGGAGTTAGAAATTGTTTCAAATACTCAAATGTTAGTTTCTAGGGTTGAATAGCCGTTATCTCACAATTAGTTTTATACAAATTCAAGATCAATCTTGATCACGTTTTATCGATGTATTAATAGAGTAATGGTTAATTCAATTTACGAATGTATAAAAACAGTAATATCATTAAATAAAATATATCTCATATTTCAGTCACGTAAATCTATAGTTCATTGTCAGTTGTTAGGTATAACATGAAGTGGATCATTAATTCTGAACAGTTCCAAATACTCTTCTCATCTGTTGAAGTAGTAATGTTCAACTTAAAACATTCTATTATAATCAAATATTATATGATATGAATACTGACCAACCTGTAATGTAGGTTATGTGGTTTTATGTGCTTATTCATTTTTGGTAATTAATAAATTAGTCAGGACCAGTTATGCTGGGAGAGGAAGAAATTGTCTTTGTGAATAATAATAATAATAATAATAATAATAATAATGATAAGTGCAGTGATAAAAATGATATTAGTGCTAGTAACAACATGAACAACTGTTCACAATAACAGTGGACCGATTTTCATCGAGTTACATTCATACCTGTACATATAAAAATGCAAGCGCATACATACACACACACATGCAGACGCTTTTCAGGTTCATTCATTTGCCTTCACATAATTCCACCTAATGCATAAATAAGATGGAAAAACAAAAAGAACGATTTTTTTTCTCTCACTTTCTTAGTATACCTATTTAGTAGTATTAACTACACCTGATCCATAGATATCGTGTGTTTATGTGTATGTGTACACCAACTATTTTCTTCATCATATATAGTTGCAACCTAGATTATAGTTCGTCAGCTGTTTTTATTCTTCGAAATCTTACTTGAAAACTGAGAAAGTTGGGAAACCGCTAACCTGAAATATTCCTTTAATGATAATGTATAAAATATATACATCTATGGGGTTATAAATTGACAGACTAGTTCATTAGACTTTAGAGACCGAAAATTTGTTTCATTCAGATCACTAAACGTGACAAACTACATCACCTGTTATCTTTCTTTTTTGGGTTTCTACATATATATAGACTGTTCGTGCATTATATTATCCACTGTTACATGCATACAAGTTACTGTTACTCTGTTCACCTCACCACTTCTTTGTGGTATGAAGAGAGTGTGTGTATGTGTATAATTGAGAGAAAAATAGATAAGTAAATGTTAGCTTTTGCACATTTGTTACATTAAACAACTTGTCATATAAGAAGGCATAGTAACATTCCCTCTGTTAATAAGTTAATCGTTCTAACTGATTTGTCCTTTAGATTTATACACATCCCATAAAAAAAGTTTGCTAGTAATCTAAATACCCTCATCATAATGTCTCAGATGTTTTTTTCAAATTACTGCCTCCCTTTTAAATTTCTCATTCACTGTCTCTATTTAACTTCATCATTCTGTATCCTAATTCCTCTTTCAACTACTCGTTGTTAATGTACAATTACAAGCATAATGTCAAAATGACATACTGACCTCTTTTGCTATACACAAAGAGAGACATGTGTAGCAAAGAAAATAGAAGCTATGTGAC